CCTCTATTTAAAAAAAAAAAAGTCATTTACTTACACAGTCATCATCAAAGAAAAACCATTCAACACCAAAAAAAGTAAGGCAAAATTTCAGAGTAAAAGATGGATTTTAAACATGAACAAACTTCCCTTTGTGAGACACTCACTCCCTTTCTTCTGGTTTTCACTCCACTGTGGGCCAGGAAGAACCCTGTCCTAGCCCAGCACTGGTCCCTGCTGGAACGTGGGCTCTCAGGCAAAAGGGACAGGCTTGGAGGTCGGTTGGTTCCTAAATCTACCAACAAGATACTTAACCTGTCCAAGACTCAACTTCTCATCCATGAGATGGGAATTATTACTGAGCTAATCCCAGGGGAGTTGTTGAATAGATTGAATTAGATCATGCATATAGAGTAATTAGCAAAAGGGCTCAGTAAATGATCCATGTATTTCCAGTCTCTGAAATGTTGCTACCCAGGGCTGGTGCCCCTCCTTACTTCTCACCAGAGAGCTGGCTCTCCCCTAGAGCTCCACCTCTTCCTCTCTGCTCTCTCTCATCTCACTTCCCTCTTTGGGGTCTGCCATAACCCACAGCAGGACTAGGAATCTGGGCAGCTGGAGTGAGGACACAGAGGGTCACAAGGGGGAGCTGAACTGACCACAGCTGCCTGCGCACTGATGTCCAGCCTCAAAGTCAAAGGAACAAGCATTTACAGAGTGCTTCTCTCTGTGCCAGTCACTGTCCCGTGTGCTTTGCATGGATTAACATATCGAATTGGTGGTGCAGCCCTGGGAGGTATTATTTCCTTTTTTTTTAAAGATTTATTTATTTATGCATACAAGAACTGGGGTACAGGACAGAGGTGGGGGGGTGAGAGGATTCACCAGAGACAGAGTGGGAAACAGAACAGGCAGATGGACCGAAGTACGAGCGGAGCAGCGGTCAGGAGCCGTCTGCTGCACCATGTGGGTAGCTCCCTGGTGGTGGGGGGATTGAACTCGCGCTGCAGTGGCTGTTGATAGCTTCATAGGTTCCGTCTTAACTCCTTGTGTCACCAGGAAGGCCCCTGGGCGGTATTATTTCTAGCCTCATTTTACAGATGAGCAAATTGAGGCACAGAGAAGGCACATACCTTATTTAGGCAGACAGGACTACCAAGAGGCTGGGGTGGGGTCCCACCAGGATGTGAGGCTGTGAGTTAATCACCAATTTAATCCTGCCTCCTCTTTTCAACATGATAGCATTCTTATCAAATCAATCAGTGTTCAGATATTTAAGGGTACTTACTATGTGCTTAGCGCTCTCAGAAACTGAAAGGACAATATAGAAATTGAGATGTGGTCCCCATGGATATAAAGAACCTAGAAGGGCTTCCAGAGACCCTGCAGTTCTCAAGAGAGTGAGAGCCTGGATGACGCTGGCGGGGCTCCCCTGTCCTCAACTCACCAGAGAGCCAAAGGCAGAGCCAGGCAGCCAGTGTGCTGCGGAGGAAACCAGCACAAGGCAGGAAGGCCTGGATGCCCCTTCTGCTGACCTGGGGTTCTCTAGGGTCCAGGGCTTAGCAAGAGGTACTGTAGGTGTACCTAGTACTGGGTTCACCCCTCCTTTTTGAGTAGAAGGTGGAGTCCAATCAAGGTCAAGGAGAAGACCTGATTTCTGCCTTGTCTCCCTCTGCCTCTTCCCCAGCCTGAAGGCCCACTCTGGGCCAGTGGCAGAAGTGTGGCAACTGAAGTGTGTGGTGCTCAGCTAGGGGAGAGTGGTTCCCAACTACTCTTCTTACCAGACTCATGTTCCCTGGCAGGGTGTAGCTGTGTCAGAAAGCTGAATGCTGGGAATTTAGGAGGCTCTTGGGCCTCTTGCCTTTACTCTTCTCTGCCTCGCCAAGCAGTGGCAAGGATGCTGGGGGGGGGAGGGGGGGGCGTGGGGGGAGGCGTGGGACCTCTGGGGGCTGCAGGGCTGTTTTCTGCCCCCACATCTCTACCCCCTCCCCACCCCAGGCAGCTCTTGCCCAGGCTGGCCTGTCATCCCACATTGCTCTGATTAGCTATAATCTTTCTTTTTCAATTTCTCCTCCCTGAGACTGGGGAGCGAGAAAATCTCCCAGAAAATGAATAAATATTTCAATTTTCGGCGCAATCAGTCTGAGGAGCCGGCGCATGATGGAAACGGGGGGAAGGATAATGGTTTTCATTTAGATAAGATACAGAAAATTATTTAGTGAAAAATGAAGATTGATGAAGCCCATTGAAATTCTTTAAAATGCGATTTTTATTTCTCTGCCTAGGCTGAATCTCCCTTTTCCCTCTCCTCACTGCTCCCCTCAATTCAACTGCCTTTTCCTCCTACCTTCTCCTGACTTCCCCCCACTGCCCCTCAAGTCCCTGGCAATCCCCCCCACCCTTCCCTCTCTCCCTGCCCCAGGCTCTGACTTAGACTTCTTTCTTCCTAAGGGAGGAGCCTAAGGAGAGGTGATCTTATGCCAGGCCCACACCCCAAGAGTATCCATGACCCCTCAGACCCCACTCCTCCCCTCCCTGCCTGGTCCTGGCTAAGCTTCCCAGGAACACTCGAATGTGACCTCCTCTACCTGCTGCCTACTTTTCCTTTCTTTGGTATCCCCACGCCCCCATACTTTTGTTTTTTTTTTTTTTTTTTTTTTTTTAAAATTTTTTTTAATATTTATTTATCTATTTGATACAAGCACTGGGTACAGTCAGAAGCGCGGGAGGGTGAGAGAATTCACCAGAGTCAGAGCGGAGAGTAGAGCAGGCAGACTGACGAAGCACACTGCTGAGGGGAGCAGCGGGAGGCAGGAGAGGTCTGCGCGCCATGTGGGACCCTCCTCCGGTGGCCGGGGAGCAGCCGGGGATCGAACCGGCGCCACAGAGGCCGCGGGCAGCTTCGCAATCCAGTTCTCAACCGCTGCGCCACCGGGGAGGCCCCGCCCCCATACTTTTGTACACTAACTTCAGGTCTTGCATTCACCCCTGCTGGAGGCAGAGAGATGGGGGCTCAGTTAATCCCCAACTCCTCCCCATTTCCAAAGAGAGAAAGGCAGACAACACACTTTGTTCTTTCTGCCCTTTTCTGTCCCATTCAATCCACATGTCTCCCCTGTTTGCTAACTGCAGCTTTTGTTCCTAGAAGCTCATTGGTATCCATGTTGCTAACATGTAGGGCTGTGGGAAAGGGGCAGACTTCAGCTTGCTCTCCACACATACCAGCACCCACCCAGCTGCCTCCTCCCCCCCACCCCTGCTGGGGCCTCCTCCTCTCCCCCTCTCTCCAGCAGCCTGGCTGAACAAAGTCAGAACTGAAGTTGTCTTCCCAACTTTCTGCCAAGAGTGGCTGGCTTGGCCTCCCAACCAGTGCCAGTCTTCCTTTCCCCCAATCCCACGTCCCACTTACACTACCGGTAGGTGCCATTCCCAGATATGGAGGTGAAGGGGCCGGGGGCATGGGCACCCCATGGATAAAGGTGGATCAAGACCCACTTCCACTAACTCAGCCAGACTTTACCTTAAGAACTGGGGAGGGGCCTGGTCAGGAGAGGAGGGCTCCGGCATAGGCATAGCACCTCACCTCCTAAGCGCACACCCACAAACCTAGGAAGGGAACTCAATCAGGTGATACCTGAGGGTGTTCTATCCAAACTGACTGTCCTCTTCCCATATTTTCCCCCCACCCCAAAATGAGACCACCTCCTCCATTTTGTCTTCTGTACATCTCCATAGGTATCTGCCTATATGAATGTCTGTTTAAGTTTCTTTGTTCACTGGAGGGTTGGTATCTGTGGAAGGATTTCAGTGTGTGTGTGTGTGTGTGTGTGTGTGTGTGGTGTCCTTGTAATGCCCGCCTGCATGCATGTCCTGTGTCTATGAGTTTTGATGTGTTTGGAGGCTGATTGTGCTGATATGGGGAAGGAATCGGTCTTCCTCAGATGTGTCAATGTCTTTGTGTACATGTGTCTTATCTCTGCAGGGATGCTTGTGGGGATGTCTGTCTCAGTAGGTGAGTAGTCTGTCTCTGTGTCTACCTCTGCCTCTGTGTCTACCTCTGGTGTTTGTGTGTCAATATCTGTGTGTCAGCTCCATTTGGGGGGTGGGGGGAGGGGCTAGCTCAGCAAGATTAATTCTTCCTTAGAGTCAAACCCAGGAGGCAAGAGTCCACTTCCACAGACTCCAGTCCTAGCTGGAGTCTGAGCCCCCGATTTTCACAGTCCCCCTCCACACACTCCGCCCCCACCCCCAGGTTTACCTCAGGGCACACTTAATATCATAGGTCTCTGCCTCTCTCTGTCAGTTTCAAATAAGCCCCAGATAGCAACACTTTTCAGAACCCAATGGGGTGTTACCCCCAAGTGCTCCCTTACACATCAAGCATGTCTGAAGCTGCCTTTGGAACTCCATTACCCACCTGGAGCCTCCTAGGGTAGGGGTTCCAATTCCTCACCAGGGTCCCGGAGGCGCCCCTCCCTTAATGGGGGGGGGGTAGGCGGTCAGGAGCCCTGGCTCAGATTCAGCGCCCCAAAGAGCTGGGCTGGAGTAAGGGGATTCCCTTAGCAATGTCTTCCGTAGGCTGGGTCCCCAGTTTTCCGCGCGCCTCCCAACCCCCAAATCTGAGATCCCACCCTCTTCCTAGCTCTCCCCAGCTCCAAGACCCTGGCGTCCGGACTCCCGGCCTCCGAGGGAGGAGGTAGCCCCGGCAGCCGGAGGATCCGGAAAAGACTCGGAGCGTTCGGGTCCCGTTTTCACTCCGACCCCCGGCTCTCCCGGCCCCAGCCCTCCGTTCTCCCGCGCAGCCAGAGGAAACAACTTGGGCAAATCAACGGAAAACTCATCTTCGCCACCCCCGCCACTCTGCGCCCCCTTCCCCGGGCTCCGCGCCGGGACCCAAGCCCAGCCTCGTGGCGTCTGGACCCGGGGGTGGCCGCGGGCCGCGGGCACCCCAAGGCGCCCCCGTCGGGGTACAGTCCCCGGGCCCCCGCGGTGGGCGCGAGTCCGGGGCGGGCGGGGGCCCTTACCTTGGGAGAAAGTATCGGAGAGAGTGAGGATCCAGACGAGGAGGCTCAGCATGCTGTCCGCCCGCCGTGCGCCCGCCCGCGGCTGGGGCCCGGAGTTGGCGAGGGAGCAGAGCCGCGGGCTGGGGAGGAGGGGCGCCGAGCCCGCCCCCGCCCGCCCCCCGCCTGCACACACGCGCGCGCACACTCGGCGCACAACTCACTTCCCTTCCTTCAGCGCTTTATCTCTCGGTCCCCCTCCCGGGCGTCCCGTCCCTCTCTCCCTCTCTCTCCCTCTCTCTCCCTCTCTCCCTCCCTGTCTCTCCCCCTCCCCCCTCCCTCCCGACCCCGCTCTCCTCGCTCTCCTCCCCCTCCTTTTTATTATTTCTTGTCTCAAGCTTTATCTCTCCGGGTCTCTGCGCTCCCTTTCTCTCCCCTCCTTCCCTCTCCCGCCCCCCTGACGTCTACTCTCCCGACGGCGCCTCCCCCACGCCCGCCCTCGGCCCCGACGCGCGCGCACACTCACACCCTCGCCCGAGCTGAGGTGGAAAGAAAGGGCAAAGGCAAAAGGGGTAAAGAACGTGACAATCGCGGTTGCTGCGGCAGAGACGGCTGGACCCCCGTCCTCTCGCACCCCCTCCAAGACCAACACGATCGTAACCTAGTCCCCCGCTACGGAATTGGGGAGGGGGGCGGCCGGGGGAGCCTGGGTTGAAATCAAGCCTCTAGCCTGGCGCGCGGCTATGATGAGTGTGAGTGCGTGTCGGGCTGGAGAGGGTGCTGGCGCGGCGGTTCATAGAGTTAAACACAAACACAAACAAACAAAAAACAACCCATACGTAGAATCTAACCCCGAGGTTCCCTAAATTCGAAATTCTCAATTGACTCATGAATTTTGGGGGTGGAGAGGGGTCCATTCCTCCCAATGCCCACAAACCCAGAGCTGGAGAAAGAGCGTCCCTACAGGGGGCTTCACCCGGCACACAGTGGGGGCAGGCCCTGCAGTGGAGTCCTCACCGGGCACAGAAGAGGCACCCCTGACTCCTTTTGGTTTCCATCTTGGGCATCCTTCCTTCCGGATGGAGAAAGTAGCAATTCACCACTGGCTTTGAAGGGCCACGGAAAGGGCAGCACAGAGGGATCTCTAAGCATCCAGGAGTTTGAGATTCTCTGGAGTGGAGAGATGTAGGAACAGAGAAGGAAGGGAAGTCTTGGTGATCGCAGCAAGGGCAGTCGGTAGGGGGTACCTCTAAAGAGCTCAGTTGGCAACCAGCTCCTCTCAACCCCTAACCAGTGACGCTTCTGCTCACAGGTTTGCGGGGAGGGTGTCTGGACGTCTGGATCTAGGTGATGAGTTGAGAAGAAATTGCAGAAACTGTGCAGGAATTGCACAACTTTATAGTACTGTTGGTCTATAAAGATCTCCACCTCTTTCTTTCTTGGATTCTACTTCTCCTGGGTTCCTAAACACTACCCGCCAAGATTTCTTCATTTCGGCCCCTCAGCAGAGGCACATGACTCTTGGGTGCCCTCTGCTGATGAGAGGTGGCCACAACTCCTTTCTCTTCATCCATTCTGACCACAGGCTGAATGGTGCAGATAGAGCCACACACACACACACATCAGGACACAGAAGCACAGACAGAAAAATACACAAGCTCAACATCAGAAGCACATTATGCACAGACCCCGAGAATCCTTCATATGTTCAAGAATACATATGTGCAGGCAAACACCATTTAAAAATAAAATGCCATACCAAACCCTGAGAAAGAGGAATATAAGCACAAATACATACAGCCACACACCAATGTGTACACACACAAGCTCTTTTCACTTTCTCAGTCATTGATCAAGCATTCTACAGATATTTCTTCAGTGCCTGCTTATGTTTCAATAACAATTCTAGGCCTTGGAGATATAGCAGTGAAAAGAATATTGACAAAGTCCCTCCCTTGTAGTGTTCCATTGTGGAGAGGAAAAAGAGGCAGGAGAAAAATATAAAATACACCAGGTTATAGTAAATGCTCTGGGAGACACATGAAAAAGGATAGAATGAATAGGGAATTGAAGTGAGGGAGGAATTGCTATTCTATAGGTAGTCAGGGAAAACTGCTCTGCTAAAGCAATATTTAAGCAGAAAACTGAAGGAACTGAGGTTTTCAGGTATTCAGGCACCTGGGGGATGCATGTAGCAGGTAGGTGGTAACAGCATGTGCAAAGGCCCTGAGGTAAGGGTGCTGTTGGAATATCAGTAAAATAGCCTTTCTTTTTTTATTCTGTGTGACAGATCATGGGAGAGAAGGCCATGGTGACAAGAATTTAGGAAAATGTTAAGAAGAAAAGGCCCAGAAGTAAATGAAGAGAATATACTTAATTTGGTGTTTCTTTCCCACCTTCCAGCTACTGGTTTGATGGTGATTCTCAGTGTGAGGAGGGATTGGGCTATCAAAGCCTTTCCTGTCCAGGTTTCCCTATAGGCCTCTTATCACACCTGGAAACCTTAGCATTGAGGGGCCAAATTTCTCCAGCTCTTTAACAGTCATGGTAGTAATCTTACCTCTTTCAACCATCCTTTAACTTTCCTCTCCACTCCCTTTAATCTCAAATCATGATCAGCTCGGTTCACAGCAAGCACAATTCAGCTTTCCCTCTACACAGCCACTCAACAACCCAGACCCCAGTAATTAAGACCCCTAGTCCGATTAGTGACTCTCAAACAATGCTAGTGCCTTGACCCCATTCCCAAATGTAACGGTTCTGGGGTGCAGTCTCAAAGAACACTATTTTTTAAAGATTTATTTTATGCATACAAGAGCTGGGGTACAGGCCAGAGGTGCAGGGGGTGAGAGGATTCACTAGAGATAATGGGGAGCAGAATGATCGGATGTACTGAAATACACTGCTGAAGGGAGCAGCAGGCGAGACAGGAGAGTTCTGCTGCACCATGTGGGTTAGCTCCCTGGTCATTGATGGAACTCATGCTGCAGCTGCTGCAGATAACTCCATAGGGCTGAGACTTAACCCCTTGCACCACTAGGGAGGCCCCTCAAGGATCACTATTTTTAAACATCTCCCCAATGTGACTCTAGTGGGCTATAGGGCTGAGAGCCACTGCCGCAGTGGCTCTCAGCCCCTGTATTTAGGCATGTCCCTCTGTTGGCCCACACAGTACAAGAGCACTTGTCTCTTGCCTCTACCATCAGCTCTGCTCATTGCTAACCTGCATCCCCTTCCTCTGCTTCTGGGGAGAACTCCAATTAAACACCCTCCTTTTTTTTTTTATCATCTTTATAGTGCTAATGTTCCATCTAGTTGGATTAACAGAGTCTACTGGGGTGTAATTACATAACTCATTTAACTGGGGGTATCAGAGGCTGAGTCCCTAGTTTCAGAGGGATGTTCCAGAAGGAAGAGCCTGTGTCTTTCCATTAGACTAGACATCCCTCCTCCCCTCACCCGCCTCCAGGATATATTCACTTCCCTTATCAAACTTGGAGTCTTGGAGCTCCTTGGGGGCAAGGGCTATACATGTTCCCTCAGTCTGGGGCTCTCTGAGGACAGGGAAGGAGCTGAGTAGCCCCTCTCACCACCAGAGCAGCAACAGAGTAGTTGTATAACAGGGTGGTCCCCAGAAAAGGGGGAGGTTCCAGGTTCCCTGCCACACCCAAATGGAGGGTGGAGCTGAGCAGGGAGAGAAGAGGCTGCAGAGGAGACTGAGGAAGGAAGGAAGCAGGATGGAGCCAGAAGGAGCCCTGGAGGAGGCTCATGGAGCCTAGAGACACGTGAAGAAACTGCGCTTGTCTTTTGGTCGTGGACTGGGTGACACAGATGTGGGTGAGACCCATGGGGAGGTGGCAATGGCAGCTTTTATCTTGATTTTGATTTTGCTCTTTTCCTTCCGGGCTTGTGTGGTTGTTTCTGGCCCTTTTCTGTGGGTCCCCACTGGAAGACGCTTTAGACTTGTGGCAGGCTTTGGGGCCTTGCTCTAGGCCAATCCCATTTGGATGGAGTTTTACCCACGAGGGGATGGGTAACTTTGGGTTCTTGATTTAGAAACTAGATTCTTTGCCTTTCCTGTATTGTTTCCTAGTTGTATTAAAGTTCCTTCCCATTAAAGTCTCATATGTTTTGTGTTGATGCGGCGGATGGCAGAACCCATTTAGAATAGGCAGGTTTGCAGGGTTTGGGCTGCCCCTCTCCCTGCCTTGTAACAGTTGGAAGCAAAGCACAGGGGCAGAGACCAGCAAGAGGAGATGCTAATCCAGGTCTGCCTCTTACCTTCTGTGCTACCTTGCCAGTTTCTTTACTCAGCCTCTTGAATCCTGGGTTTCTTCATCTGAAATCAAGAATGATGTAGTACGTACTTTCTGGGGTGGTGGTAAGGATTAAATGGGTCAATAGCCACACAGCCCTTAGAACAGTGCTATGCACACAGCAGATAGTAAATACTAAATATGATTAATCTGGGTGTGGGAGCTCCCCAAAGCAGGGGCCTTTGGAATCCTCCTCCTGCTGGATGGGTCTCCATCTCTGTACTCAGGGCTGTCTGCATGTCTAAGAGGCCTGCTGACGCGGGGGCAGAGGCAGCAATCCCAAAGGACTTGACTTCACCCAGAAAAAAAGGAGAGAAACAGCCAAATGTTATATATGGTGCTAAGAGAAGTATTAATAATTTTTTGAGTAAAAAAGCAAAAAGAGCAAGAGGTCAGAGAGTAAGCAGGAAGGCAATTTATGGCCATCAGCAGGAGAAGCCACCCTGAGAGACGGAAATGAATTCTTTGTCTCAATGAGGGCTGAGAACAGCAGAACTATTCTATAAATTGTCCTCTTTCCCCCTAGAGGGGGCGTAGGATTGTGATCCTGCTGCTTACTCGAGACACAAAAGAGAAAGGCCAAGACCACAACGGAAACGCTGGGTCCCCCAGGGTGAGGACCACCAGAGGTCACCTTGCCCTTCCCCCGCAGCAAAGCCTGTGGCCTGAGAGATGCACCCCTCCCAGCAAGGGGCCTTTCCCTAATTCCTTTTCTACTTTTGTGTCTTACAGCTCAGGAAGTGGCAGGTATGCCCAGATACCCGGCTTTAGGCTCTTCAGTTACTTTCCTCCTGTTCTTCTTTTCCTGAAGATACCCAGCTT